GTAGACAGCAACAAGACTGAACTTTACAGATTCCTCTCAAGATCTCTCATTAGGAATTTTGAAGAAGGTGTCAACCAAATAGTTATCACCGATGGTGAATATGTTCTTTCAAAACCCCAAATACAAGATGTCGATTCGATTTCTCCATGTAATCACGAGGAAGCAGATAGCCGAATGTTGTTACATGCAGCACATGCATCTCGCCAAGGCCATAACAGAATACTGATCCGCACTGTTGACACTGATGTGGTGGTCCTGGCTATGTCCGTGGTGCAAAGTTTGAACGCAGAGACGGAACTATGGATAGCCTTTGGAACTGGAAAAAAATTCCGTCACTTGGCAGCCCATGTAATTGCACGTGGCCTTGGGCCCAGAAAAGCTTTGGCACTTCCAATGTTTCATGCGCTGACCGGATGTGACACAGTGTCCAGCTTTGTTGGGCATGGCAAAAAAACTGCATGGAAAACTTGGAAGGCCCTACCTGAGCTCACTGATGCGCTTGTTAAATTAGTTTGTGCACGAACTAACATACCGAGCGAGGTTATTCAAACCATTGAAAGATTTGTCATCCTTCTCTATGACAGGACCAGTACATGTACATTACATTAACCAAGCTCGACAAAAGATCTTTGCAAGGAAACCAGATGTTAAACTAATTCCGCCGACTAGGGCTGCCCTAGAAGAGCATGTCAAGCGAGCAACCTACCAGGGAGGACATGTTTGGGGACAGCTACTGCAACCAAATCCATTATTGCCCTCCCCTATCGAGTGGGGCTGGATTTTGACAGATGGTCTGTATGAGCCCCAATGGACAACACTGCCGGAAGCCTCCAAAGTCTCTTATGAGCTAATAAGATGCAATTGTGACTTAAAAAAGAAAGGATGTACGTCAAAAAAGTGTAGCTGCAAACTTTCAGATCTCAAGTGCACTAGCATGTGTGGATGTGAAGGGGCATGCTGAGAGTCAGGACAAACGACGTTTTTTCAAAGCTTTTATTGTGGTCGCCTGATATTGTCTTACTTATGTAAACATGTTGTCTTTAGTCTGTTTCATTACTTAACAGTACATGCATTTATAATTAACCATAGGATAAGTGACGTTGGGTGGTGTTTTGTGAATTAGGAAATGTTTTAAACCTGTGCACGATGAAACAAAATAAATAGATGTTTTGAGTCGAAGGAGGCGTTGGCATAAATAAAGATCCAACACTTAAAAATAGATTGTGCCGAGTATGGGTTTTTTGCATACACACACCTAACACCACACGCCAAACAGCACTTGATGACGTCATAGTACTAATGAAAAATTCTGGAAGGGACATATAATGCTCATGAATAAACATATTTAAATCATAGAGAATATGCACATCAAATGCAAAAAGTACATATGCATGTGCTTGAAATGATCAATAATGAGGGAAAAGTGGTTATGTTTTTTATTATTTTATTTCATTCAAAGCATTTTATTTTTCTTTAAAAGGTCCAGAGAGTGTTTTTTTGTTTTTATTTACCATGATAATCACTTATTTCGAAAGTGATGTAGGTAAATTTCAAATATAACGAAAAATTCTGGCGGCCATTTTGTAAAATGGCTGTCATGTCCGCCATGGCGTGATTCTGCGATGGCCCAATATCCAGATTTGTTCAGACAAGAAATGTCTATATTTGTACAAAAATTGGTGCTTTTATCATAAAATGCACAATAGGTTGTCTATGCCGCCTGACTAATGTATAAATGATTAATAATATTGTATGAGTAAAATGTGGCATTTTCTGTATACAGGGGATATCCTGTACATGTAAAAATTTTTTTTTTTAACGAATTCAAAAATATTTTTTAATTAATCATCTTGATTTTTTTTTTACCTGTATGATGAACACAACAAAGGAGAGGTAATTAGTAGAAATATGGATTATGGGTGTCAAAACTTTGTTGAAGACCAGTCTGCATGCCATATTGTTTATTATCTGCCATAAATGATCTTGAACAGGGGAGACTACTCCTGAAATCAAAGAAATTATAGTAAAAAATGAGAGTTATCTGGTCTCTTTAGGTCTCAATACAAGGATTTTACTTCACTATTTGTTACTATAATTAATGTAGCATTAATTAATTTTATTAATTAACTAGACATTCCTCGGCCCACGCCTCGCCCAATATGTATTTTTTCAAGTACCCAACATATTTCCGTATTACCCCTCTAAGTGTCTACATAAGTAATAATATTGCGATTACCTCGCAGTTATCTAACTTACTACCGCTCTTTTGCAAGGGAGTCGTGAAAGCTCTAAATCTGGCAAGATTTCTGGGGCACATGGCATTGTTTACAGTAGAGACAATCGAATGATTCGAGCAATTTTATGCCTAAAGTGCAATGTATTGCCGGGGATTGAACTCCAATTAGTAGATTGTTAAATAAGGAATGTTTAGAATATTTTATTTGCTTAAAATGTGATGATTTTCAATGAAAATTCAATAAGAGTCCGCATAGTTAGAAAATATCATAAAAAATGTAACATTTTAGGATTAGCTCCTCTCAAAAATTAATTAGGCTGGACTTCAGCGATTTTATAGCATTAAGGTATATCATTGAGTTTTTTTACTTATCTGTCCTTATAAATTCTACAATGATCGATCTTGCATTGTATTCAATAGCACATTTGCCCAAATCCAGCACACATTTCCTACCTCCACCTACTACCATCACAAAATAGTTCTGCTAAGTTACATGCAAGTAATCAAGATATCAAGTATTTTCTCTACCTCTGAATTATCTCCCCCTGGAAGAGAATGAAACCATTTTGATTTCCTTTTTCCCATGGATGCATGCTTAAATGTTGCAAATTTTGTTGAATTATGCCAAGTGGTTCTGTAAAAGAAGACGAAAAATTACTTAACTGGTATTTTTAAAATTTTACAATAACACAGCTAACAATTTTTGATCAGAAGAGCTCAATCCGGTGTTACATCAAGTGATCAAGCTAAAAAATGACACTCACTGCTCAATGGTCAAAATTTGATTGTCAATGCATTTTACTTATAGCTCAAAAAAATTAATTAAAAATAACACATTAATGCAATTCATACCTGAAAATCATTTTGGTTTCTTTGAAGGTTCTCCTAAGTACAGGAACTGCAATCATCAGTTCAAACTTCCAGTCCTCCAACATAGAGATCAGAATCCACAGGAATTCATTGCAGTTTCAGTAATGGATATTAATTTTATACCTATCAAGGTCAATTCCTTTGGAATCATTAAATCATTGCTTTGCTTTGAATCCTTTAAGCCTATTTGATCAGAGAACACGTACCAGTAAAATATGTACAATACTGACTATAATCAGCCTTACAGATTGGAATGTCCAGCTAGAATCACCACTGTTATGTCACATCCATCACTTGAATGTTTAACCAATCAGATTAAAGCACTGTCCATCTAGAATCACCACTATTATGTCACATCCATCACTTGAATGTTTAACCAATCAGATTAAAGCACTGTCCATCTAGAATCACCACTATTATGTCACATCCATCACTTGAATGTTTAACCAATCAGATTAAAGCACTGTCCAGCTAGAATTACCACCACTGTTTTGTCACATCCATCACTTGAATGTTTAACCAATCAGATTAAAGCACTGTCCAGCTAGAATTACCACCACTGTTATGTCACATCGATCACTTGAATGTCTAACCAATCAGATTAAAGCACTGTCCAGCTTGAATTACCACCACTGTTATGTCACATCCATCACTTGAATGTTTATCCAGTCAGATTTAAGCACTGTCCAGCTAGAATTACCACAAATGGAAAGTGAGTGCAAGGTCTGCATGCTGGTCACAACCTAGGAGTGTAAAAATCTCTAAAACAAATTTTTATGTACACTCCAAAAACAGCAGATGAGCAGGTAAACTTCACTGCTGTGCACCACTCAGTAGTTTATTGGTCCATGTGTAGCAGCGGGAATTCTATTGTATATCCTGGCAGGTCTGAAATAGTTTATGAAGATTTTGTCTCACTTATTAATAACCAAAATGGCAACTGCATGAAATTAAAGTGTACATTGCAAAACTGTGGTGATCTATATATAAGTCAGAGTAAATAAAAGGAATTACATGTAAGTATGTTACCTATAAGCCAGGACATGAAGACTACACTGCAACCTTTCCTCCACCAGAGACCATCATTAGAGATGAAGAGGTGGACTGCAAAGAGAATTGGAAAGCTGCTGTTAATTAAGTGATGACTTCCTCTAGGCTTTAGCCGTTTCACCAGTAATGGAGCTGCTGTTAATTAAGTGATGAAAGTCCTTCAGGCTTTAGCCATTTCACCAGTGATGGAGCTGCTGTTAATTAAGTGATGAAAGTCCTTCAGGCTTTAGCCATTTCACCAGTAACGGAGCTGCTGTTAATTATAGTGATGAAAGTCCTTCAGGCTTTAGCCGTTTCACCAGTGATGGAGCTGCTGTTAATTAAGTGATGAAAGTCCTTCAGGCTTTAGCCGTTTCACCAGTAATGGAGCTGCTGTTAAATATAGTGATGAAAGTCCTTCAGGCTTTAGCCGTTTCACCAGTGATGGAGCTGCTGTTAATTAAGTGATGAAAGTCCTCTAGGCTTTAGCCGTTTCACCAGTGATGGAGCTGCTGTTAATTAAGTGATGAAAGTCCTTCAGGCTTTAGCCGTTTCACTCAGTGATGGAGATTAAGTGCCAATTGCATCCTGGGAACATCTGAAAGATGTGAAAGACATAAGAATGTGTCCATGATAAAAATCCAAAAGACTTGAATTGTTTCTTTTGCAAAAAAAAAAAGATTAGAAAGACTGTTAATTAAGATCCATTCAACAGTCATATTTTGATTCAGAAGAACAAGTATGTTAGCCATAAGATAATTAATGCAGGTTATTTGACTACCATCCAAAACTTTTGTGCAATACACTGTGTATGAAAATTGCTTCAAACACTACTTTAAAACCTTTTCTTTGTTGGAGCGTACATGGTTTGTTGCTGTCGGTTCCATTGTCAGCTGCTACCAAGGACAGGGCAAGAAGTCCTGTCATCTTCCTAGCTTTCTCTTCCTGAAGTGAACCAAAAAGCAATAAGTGGAAATCTTAAGTGTGCCTAGTGTCTTTGAGGATCTAACAAGAAAAAAGAAGATAAATGACTGAAAAAATGATTCCAAGGACCAAATTTAGAAGACATGGTCAGAAAGTCTGAATTTGTGAATATTAGGCAAATCAATAATCAAATCCAAAAATTACTGCACTACAGTACATATATATTAGAAAATTGAAAAAAAGACATAAAGTTGCACATGCACTCACTGAATATTGGGTACATCTGAGCTTTCGCATTGTGATTCTGTAGTAGCCTGTGTTGTGAATGGTATAATTATATCAAGTGGTTCCTCATCTAAAACAACAACAAATCATAAATGAAACGATCAGAACATGTATGTTTGTACATGATAATTTAATTGCATAAAAAGTTAAGTTGTTAATTGTAGATACTGGCCAGGGGCATAGATCCTGTATAGGCAATTTACGTGAGTCGATGAAATTTTAATCTAATACACATTAGATAACAGGTATTAATTGCTAGCTATATATAATTAATATTGCAATACATTTTTTCAATTGCCTCCATGGGGATGATTTATACAATACAAGGGGTGATCAAAAAGTTTGCAAACTATCTTTATATCTACAAAACCACAATTCAGATTAGAATGAAATTTGGTACACACGTCATATACATACACAAGTTCTATAAATAGCATATGCTGCATAAAGTTTTGCTCCTTGTTTGTGACATCACAATGTGAAAATGACATCACTATGTAGGTCACCTGTGACGAAAAATGGTTGTCTCAGTCGTATTCGTTCAACAAACAACTGTACAATTTATTGCATACAAGTATCTTAGAAACCCCTTGCCGTAGCATATAATAATTTGTAAACAATCTATTAAGACAATTTAATGACTCCCTATAAATTCAATCAATGATTGGATTGATCATTTTAGTGAAGGAAGGCAGATGGTTAAAAATGATACGTCCCGGTACGAAAGTTCGAGGCGGAATAGGCACGGCTTGGGCACGGCTAAGACACGGAATCCGCACGGGTTTTTAAAAAGCCGCACGGGTTCTGCAAGTCTAAGACACGGACACGGCTTCCGTGTCTGAAAATGAGGAATCCTTTATACTCACAGAAACCCGTGTGGAGGCACGGAATCCGTGTCCCAGGGAGACAGTTTTTAACTCAGGCCGGTTTTGCTTCAAACTATTTATTATATCTCACGGCTTTTTACTGAGTATGCTCAATCATAACTTCCTTTATTTGAATATTAAATTGGAGGGATTCATGGTCATTGAGCTAAGTCAATGTGTCTTTTTGCTCTATTTAAAGGACATTTAACTAATAGACGTCAGTTGGAATTGTATTTATGTCAGTCTGGGATAATTTCTTTACTTTTGAACTAAATGCAGTAATTAAGTGTAATCTACAATAAATAAGTCAATTTTTCAATTTTCATGATTATCTTCTGTATTGCAATGTTGACAATGAACATGATGAAAAAGTTTAGGTTTATTTGAATGACTTTAGTTGGACTTTCACTAATCCTTTATAGTATATTTTATGTCAGTCATCACTGTACGTGATAGTGAAAGTTTTATTTAAACTAGATTCTTTCTCAGATTTGCAAACTTAGCTACTAGATTAAATTACAATTTAAAATATGTACATTGTCCTTAACAGAAAGTAAATGGACACATTCAAATAAGATTTTTAACTTTTGAAATTCTAAAACTAAGCATTAATGTAAAGCAATGTGAAGTTAGTTTGGTTTCAGTCACCATTTTGGCATCCACAGTTATATCAGGGGGTTCTCTAAAGGCCATGACCTAGATCTAAACAAATGCACAGATCCCATGACTCCTTATATGGTATACGGCACGGCTTTTTCGACACGGGTTTCCAAAAAAAACGTGTCTCCATATATGGAAAAGGACACAGGTTTCAGACACGGTTTTACAGAACCCGTGAGTCCATATATGGAAACTAGCACAGCTTTCTGACACGGGTTTTGTAAAACCGTGTGATCTCATTTAAATATTTCGGCCAATATCCCGTGCTGTGTCTGTGCCTCGACCACTTTTAGGCAAGGCTTTCCATATACATACTTTACATAGGAGCACGGAATGCAAAAAGCACGGGTTTCTGGAGACAGAATCTGTGCCTAAGCCGTGTCTAAGCCGCCCGGACTGTTTGGTACGGGCATGTTGCTCTCACTGAGTGAAAGCAAGTTTGAAAAGATAATATGTGTTTTTAATTAAGCAATTTGCTATTATAGACCTCCCATTAACACTTTGAAAAATAGTTGAATATTTGAACAATAGTATAATTATTAAATACCTAAGATATCCTTTACTTTAGATTTTAAACATATTAGATAATTATGATGAAAAGGAGGCACCCATTTTCTATCCACCTTGAATAAACGTCTCTTCCGAGACAGAAGATTTGTGTTTTGATTGGTCGCCACGCTTATTTTTGGAAAAGATATTCTTATCTACCCATTCTGTTGTCGAATTTTGACCATTTCTAACAAATGAAGTGTTCTTGTTATGAAAATTAACTTACATGGAAAGAAATTAACCCTTTGTGTGCGGGAACCCAATATATTGGGTCTGACGTCACAAACGCTACCGTGCGGGAACCCAATATATTGGGTCTGAGTGTGGAATTAGCGCTTCGTAACATAAAACGTTGTATAAAACGTATAAATGAGTTGTGAATTACTAAGAATCTATCAATATGCATTATAAAACCATAATACATTGAAAAATAGGTAATTAAGATGTGAAAATATGCGAATTATTTTTGAAATTGTGATTTAAAGTGAAGGTGTTGGCGTTTGTTACGAAGAAAGTCAGTCCGCTATTTTTGGAAACAGGGAAAAAACGCGCATGTAATAGGGGCAATCCGGGTAATTCCGGACAATCTGGGTCATGTCTAGATGTAAAGATTATCTAATAAAGAAAAACATTGATTTGACTAAGATGTTATGTGATGTCTTTGGAAACAGCTTTTGACAACAGAGTGCGATCGATCTCATCTTCGAATTATCTCCCTTTGTTTTTTATAAGACGGATTTCACACAGCTGGTGAAATGGGGTAAATCCGGACGACATGGGGTAATTCCGGACAAAGGTTGGGGTAATTCCGGACGAGAAGATAATATACATAAATAAATAACAATATAGTATAAAATAGATTTTAAAAAGTGCGCAATCGGCCGAAAAGGTGAGGGAGTAACACCCCCCCTCCCCCGAGCGGGAGGTATTACGACTTTAATAAAGTCCATGATCATTTATTTCTATATGGCGTTCATTCCCTTTGTATACGTCACCACCTTATACTGATCCTTTGTAAATCCATTTGTTTTCTATGTGTATTTTTTTCTCAAATATTTGCGTTTAAAAACAGAGATCCAACGTTACTGTGAATATAAACCATGGTTATTGATTTTGCATTGTAACCATCACCAATGTTTTATATTTTGATATTTACATGTTGTACAGATATAACATGATTGATATTTTCTAAATAAACAACAAAACTTACAGTTATTAAAATCTTTTTTTTTTCTCTACTGCCAAACATAACAAAATTTTGATATCAACTGTCAAAGGCGTGACTCATTTTTTAGTTTTAAACTTAAATCACGCTAATTAATAACATTAATAACAAAACTCATTTAATTCAACAAAATAACAACAGTCATTTTATTTTGGTTTTTTACTCTTCAATGCTCGTTCTAGCTTTTTATTTTCTTTTTCTTGTTTCTTCAACGCGACCAATCTCTTCTCTTCGACTATTTCTGCACTAGTCAGGAGCCTGTGTCCAGTTTTCCTTGGTGTAACTAAAGAATTGGCCGATGCGTTTTGTACAGAGCTGATGATCTTTGGTGGAAGAAACAATGTGTTTATTTCTTCACTCCATGCGTTACCTACAGAAGCTGTTTCCATTGCGTTGGGGATAATTGCTACTCCACTACTGTCAGGTGAAAATATCTCGCACTGACCTGAACTGATAAGATCTAGAAGTAAGGATGGATCCTCAATCGTTGGAGGTTGAGAATTCGCATCGCTGACAGAACGGCTTTCAAGAGGGGTTCGTGGTGCAATTGCAAGATTGGTTGGTTCAGGCGGATTGGTATCGTTTCCTGTTGGTGTGAGCTGCACATCTGTCGGACGAGATGGAGACATCATTTCACTTGGGACTGCTGATGGATCAAAAGGGAAAATTCCACACGCCCGAAAACCTGCAGTAATATTGGAAACAGTGAGGGCAGCGTCCCATGCTTTCCGGAATATTCCAGGAAATGTCCATTTATTGACAGCATTCAGTGAGTTTTGTGCGAGGTAATCTGAGCATACTGTATTATACGCCGTGTTTAAGGGCCCAAATACTGCTCTATCCAGAGGTTGAAGCACGTGGGTTGTGTGTGGAGGTAGGCTTACGATATGAATATTTTCCTGTATGGCCATTTCCAAAATTGCGAGCGTCTCATGCGATGAGTGCCCATCCAGTATCAACAGCTGGGGTCTGGCAGAGCCGCAATGCTTAAGGAATATATCTCTAAACCAAATTTCACCTAACGCGTCTGTCATCCATCCTTTGTCCTGGAAACTCCACATGCTGCCTACGGGACTCTGCTCTGTATTGAATCCATGCAAAGACTTCGAGGTCTTTCCTTTTACAATAAACATGGGTGGCATGGATATTCCGAGTGCGTTCACGCACGCCATGATAGTGACATTGGTCCGATTAGATGTAGTACGACCAACAACATTCCTGGCACCTTTGAGTGCTAGTACCTTGACAGGATCATGTTCGAATTGTTTCCCTGTCTCGTCACAATTCCAGATTACTGCAGGGCTGTTTACAATGTCCAAATTATGTAGCAAACATTGCAGGTCATCGAAGTACTTTCCAATAATTTCTGGGTTTGACATCCTAGCTCGTGTTGTTGCTAGCTTTTCTGGTTTTCGAATCGACAGTTCTGGGTGGCGCCTACGAAAACCATCAAACCAGTCCTTTCCTGGTGTCCCATTTTTGAAGGTAACTTTAATCTTTTTACTGAGTTCACCAACTCTTCGCAGCAGTTGTTTTCTCGATATACCCATACCTTGTCTTGCAGCTTCTGATACGGCTGTAGCAATTTTGTTTTCTATGTCCTTGGGGATACGCTGAGTGCGACCGGGTTTTCCTGGACTTGCATACTTTTTCTTGAAGGTATCTGACAAAGTTGATTTGGGCACTCCATATATCCGCTCTGCTTCTCTGATAGATTCCCCATTTTGCACAGCTTTTAATGCATCTGCCACCTTCTGGGGATCATAAGCA